TTTTTCTGTTATGGGACTATCTTCACCAATTAAGACTGATAATGGCCCTGCCTATATTTCCCAGTTCTCTTTGGACTTTGGTGCAACTCTGGCCTGTTAAGCATATATCAGATATACCTTGTTATTCATGCAATAGTAAAATAAACCAATGGGTTCCTTAAAACCCAATTATTAAAACAAAAAAAGGAGGAGTATGGGGACATTCCTTCCACAAGAACAAGTATTTAAAGCATTGTTTATTTTTCATTTTAAAAATTATCAGTCGCAAGGTTTTACTGCAGTAGACAAATATTTTATACTCTTGAAGGTCAGGTAGAACCACTGGTCCTTTACCAATATCCATTGGCAGGCCCACAGTGGCTGGGCCCAACAGAATTGCTAACCCTGGGGAAGGGGATATGCAACTGTGTTGTGCCCCACAGGCTGTCTTTGGGTGTCTACAAAGGTTGTACATCCAGACCACGTGGCATCAAGTGAGACAATGCAAAGCACAAGAATTCTCTTTGCATCTGAATACATGTGTCTTGCAATGATCGTGCAAATCACAACTTCAAATCTGCAAAGATAAAAAGGCTCCTTATCTTTCTGAGCTTGCTGATATATACACCTCAAGAAAGTGACTTGATTCATTAGGCTCATGTTTCTATTTCACCTGGCTTTGACCTAGTTACATAGGAGACTCAAAACCACCTTTTGCCCCTCTGATAATAACTTCTGTACAAATAGAGCTCAACCAGCATCTCTTGACCCCTAAGCAACTGTGGGAGGGACTATAGCCATTTTGGTGTTTCATGGCATTTCATGGCAGAAAAATATCTATATTATGGCCACCAATGTCACTGATAGCAGTTATTGTGTTCCCTTTTGTCCCCAGTAGTTCATGACCCATAAGAGATGCCTTATATTTGGAGTGGACTTCATGTCAGTTGACCAATTTTTTTCCTATTAAATGTTGCTTATAATCTATAGCTAGAGAATGGGCAACCCCATAATCTGATGGCATTAAAGTATAACTCTACCTGAAATTATGTTCTGCCTTTTAATTACACTGGTCACCCATCATCTTGAAATTTTGCAGGTATAGGACACTTGTAACACCTCTCCTCAGGCACTTACTTTTCCCCTACCAAGAAATCATTCTAGTGCCTTCTTATTTCCTTATTCATTTGTATTCTTTTTTTTTTGGTGGGGGGTACTGGGAATCGAACTCATGACCTCACACTTACCAGGAGGCAGACACTGTTCCCCTGAGCTATATCCCTCCCTTGTGTTGTTAGAATTGATAATTATCAGCATACAGACAAGATGATCTGCTCATGACACTTCTAGCCATATTATGAACTGTACGTCCCATCCATATATTCTAGCTCTCATTAACTGACAACCCAAAAGAATTAAATATAATATCTTGAGTCATTGTTACAGACCCTTTAAATCACTTACTATCTTCCCCACTAAGGCCACCTTTACAAATAATATGTTACAAATATTATGCCTCAACTAAACGTTATACACATTATGATACTCAGTAAGCCAAATCATGGCTCCCAGCCAGTCTCACTCAAGAGTGGATGGGGAAGTCAGCCCTTGAACAAACCACCTCAGTGCTTGAACCTATCAGATAAAAGCCCTTCCCAGGCATTTCATTGGAATTAGTATCATGGCTACTGCATTGGCCACTACTGTGAAGACTGCTGCAGCTGCTCTGACTCATTCTATCTAAACTGCTGAAACTATCAATGGCTACTCCCAAAATGTCATCTCAGAATTAATGACTCAAACTAATACTGACAAATTCTACAAAGACTTGGTGCCTTAGAGATATCTGTTAACTGGCTGAGTGCACACCAGCAGGCCCTATGGACACACAGTCAACCCAACGTCAAAGCTGGCTATCACTCAATGTGCGTTACTCCTATTCCTTTTGGTCAGTCTGAATCTTGGGAAGAGGTCCAACACCTTCACCATGGTGCCTTTCATACCACTCTGGACTGGCATATTACTAAGATCCTATGCAGGCTTCAGGCCCAGGTTCATAAGCTTCAAGGGGAGGCTCAGAACATTACTGGATCGTCTGGATGGTACTGCCTATTGGCTCAATCCTAAACATTGGTTGTCTGGTCTAACTTTCACATTGGGATTCTTTTTTTTTTTT